CGCGCTCGGGCGGGGAAAAGCGGCCGGAGACTCTCCGATCCCGGAGGGAACGGGGGGATGCGCTGGATGCGGTGCCCCAGGCCCCCGGCTGCAACGAGCACGGTTGATCCACAGGTTTTGGTTGTTTTTTTCCAGGGAGATTTTTAATGGCTCTGCTCCAAACCAAGGAATATCGACCGATCCCATATCAAAACCACTGCGAAAGGCTGGAGGTGCATCCCATACAGAGACGGGAACTTCCACCGCGCTAAAAAATACCCACGCGCTACCCTCCGATGATCTCCCCCAAACTGGCGCGTTTTTGGTTTGTTTTTTTTTTTTCCTGCAAAAAGCCCCGAGGTCCAGCGTGAACACGTTTAAAAGAGGCTAGTTTGGGAGGATTACGCTGCTAGTAGTTTTACAAACATTAAAACTTGGATGGGTTAGGGTTTGGTGGGTTGGTTTTTTTTTCATACAAATACTTGCTAAGAAATAGATTGAGCTTTTTTTTTGCTGTGAAGTCCCGTAAAGCCCACCGAAGGGGTGTTAATGACGCGACGGGTGCCACTTGGCCTCTCTGTAGCTCTCTTGCCGGTAGTCATGGCTCCAGCCGTCGCGGTGCCAGTCTTCGTAGGCAGGTTCCTCTCTGCCCCCCCCTGTAGTGGTGCTCGGCGTTGTGCCCCCTCTCATCGAAGCCGTACTCCTCCCTCTTGGCCCGGCCGTAGTCGGGTCCCCACTCCCCAAAGCGCTGCTCGCGGCCAAAGTGCCAGCTGTCGGTGTGGTAGGGGTGGGTGTTCAGCCTGCCCTTGCGCAGCGCCAGCACCTCTGGGCGCCGCGGCATCTGGGAGGCTGGCGGGGGGTGGAAGGCATGAGGAGGGTGCTGGTAGGCGGGCAGGGGGAAGCCGGGCTGCTCGTACTTTCCCCCAAACAGAGGCTGCTGCCGCATGGCGCTGGTCATCTGCAGAGAGGAGAGGAAAAGGGTCGGTGGATTCGCTGCCCTCGCTCCCCAGCAGAGCACCAGAACCCGGAAAGGAGCTAACCCCCGAGCTCGTCTCTGAACCACGTTAATCACGCTGTAAATACGGGGGAAGATGAAAGTTCCTGGGCTGGAAATGAGACCGAACGCTACCTTACAGAATAGCTGTTACCCACAGCTTCAGCTACAGCTCGCAGCCCTCCCCAGCATTAACCACCTCCCTACCAGGAGCTGTAAATCTTTTGGAACTGTTATTTCGACACTCCAAAAGTACATTCCTAGATGATCTTTCAAGGTCCCTTCCAAACTCTAACATTCTGTGATTCTGTGATTCCTACAGCCTAATGGAATTGTGACAGCAAACAGGTAGTCAAAAACAGACAGCTCTGTCACGTGTTGTCCATCGCCCATGGGCAACGGCAGGGTCAGGCACTGTTAGCACAAGCGAACGGCGTACCACCGCTTGTCTCTGAAGGTTGTCACCAGACGCCAGAGCCCGCTGCACTGACGAGAATCCTGCTGCCGCCACACCATCACAATTCCTGTCGTATCTGCAGGAAAAAAAAAAAAAAAAGATGAGGAATTTTACCCTTAAACTCCAGACTATGGCAGCCCGAGGGGCAGTTGCAGCCTAGTTGTGTTTCTCCTGCTACAAACAAGATAACTGTCCAAGCTTGAGCTCACCACTGTGGTCAGAAACGGGGGCGGATGCGCCCATGTTGTGCATTTGGCAGCACCCTCCCCACTTCACATCACCAGATCTTTCCTGTGCTCCCACGAAAACATGACACTATTCTTTTGGCATTGGGATGTTGGGCGCCAAGAAGGCAGGGTGCCAGGAACTCCAGTGTTTGCTCCACAGGGAAGAAATGGTGCTTGGAAAGAGAGCCAGAAATGCCGTGAACCACAGGAACACTCTTTTCTACTTTCCCTGGTGGGTGTACTTACAGGGTGTGCTGAGGGAATCCGTACCTGCTGGGGTTTGATGCCAGGAGCGGCACGCCCGAGGGGCTGGCGTTGGCAGCTCCGTGCGGGGAGCAAGCGGGACTGCTGTCCTGAGACGCGTGGCTGCTCCCTGGGGAGAAACAAAACGGTTCAGGAGGCTGACAGGAACCACGTGCGCTTCGAGCAATTCAATATCAACC